AGACAAACAGATGTACAGCAACTATATTCAGCATGTAGATATAAATGGTACCAGGAGTGGTCACGTGTTGCGTTCCACAGCAATCTGTTTTAGGACCCTTCTCTTTCCTAGTTTATGTAGCCTAAATTATATGAAATCTTAAAATGTGACTAAACGTAACATGAATAAAACTTCAATACATTACCTAGTCCCACTGAAGTCACAATGAAGACAACAACTCCCAAGATCCCACGCTACTTCCAGATGTCATTAAACTACGCCTTTTGTTATTGTCGCTGACACTACATGTACGTTTAAGTACATTTTCTTCCCATGCTTCACAGGCACAATGGGTCACTGGCCAATGGGGACAAGGGTCGCAGGAGAAGTCGCTTGGCCCTCTATAAGAGACCTAAAGCCAACGGTGTCAAACCTGATGTTATCCACAATGTTTCAACCCCACTGGTGTCAAAGGTGAGAAATCACAGCTCATCTGTAATGGAAGCTTCTGTAAAACCAACACATTAATTTGAAATCTCTGCAGGAATGAAAAAAATTAAAGTAAATTAAACAGCAATACTTGCAACCATCTGTTGCTGTCTGTTAGGATGCGAACACCCTAAGATTGTGAAAGTCATGTGTTAACATTGTCATTGTGAGTATGTTAGCTTGCTAATTTGGCATTTAACTCAATGCACTGCTGTGCCTAACCACAATTTCACAGAGGTGCTAGCATGGTTAGACTCTTAGTCTTCTTCTTCTTAGGTGTGAGTCTTCTATTTTCTATATCATATTGTATGAATATGTTGTAAATATAATGTATTGTATACGTTGTCTGAATTATCACTTACGTATTGTAAAAAACTGTTACACAGTACCTTAGTATTGATCATCTTTCTCCATCATAACATATGATATAATGCTATCAATCATTTGAGAGAGCTGGGGTCTTTCCTCCAGAACAGGAAATGTCCTCTGGTTAGATTTTCCTGGAGGCCAGACCTTCAGCTCTCCTTGTCATGTGACCTGGATAATGTCTTTTTCCATTGGCAGGCACTCAGCAACAAAAGCCAGCACAGCATCTCCTACACACTGTCACGGAGCCACTCTGTCATTGTGGAGTACACCCATGACACCAACACAGACATGTTTCAGGTCAGTGTCTGCACACACACACACACACACACACACACACACACTTGTGTATGTGCCAACTCAACATTTTAGCTGGGTGACCTTCTGCAGAGACAGGATGCCAAGAGAGAGGCATGTTGACTGCAAAAAAAAAAATCATTAAAAGTATCATAAATGCGGGGGCGGATCTAAAGAAATATTCATGTGGGTATGAATGAAATAATATACATGACACATGATGAGGGGTGGGGATGAGTTAAGCACAGCCTGGGGAAAGAAGCTGTTTTGGTGGTCTGGCTGTGGATACTTCTGTATCTCTTGTCAGCAGGTCTGCCTCTCCCTCCTATGCAGCATGATTTTTGCTGGCTTCCATGGGCCCCACTAGTGGCTGGTTACCAGAAAGCTAGATGGCTTTGTCTGGGGTGGGTACTGTCTTTTAGTGTCCTTTTTTAGTATCCTCACTGATATCCCTGATGCTGGGGCGATGCAATGATCTTCTGAGGGGTTTTAACCACTTGCTACGCAGCCCTCCTGTCCTGGAGGTGTCTTTCACATTTTAATATTTAGTCAAACAATAATTGAACCTGTCAGCCCTGTCAAAGAACAAAATAATACACACACCTCTCAGTGAGTGCACGGGTAATCTGTGAGCAGATTTGTCTCTTGAGAATGCCGCGTCATGAGAGGGCAGTGAGGGCATCAGAGAGAAACAGGGGGAGGGAATGAAGAGGTAGCGCATACAGGAAAGAAAGTATCAGGCAGAAGGAGGGAAGACTTAAGACTGAGGAAATGTAATATACGAGAGAAGATGAGTCAGACCTGTCTGCTCTCGGCAGCTCACAGTCTTTTTCCAACCACCTTCTCTCATCATCAAGGAAATCCATACAAAGCCATGACTCCAGCAGACAGAATCAACAGGGCTCCGGTCCAATCTATCCACATGTCTGTCTCCCTCCGTCTGTCTGTCTGTTGAGTTAAAGGGTCAATTCACCCACATTAAGAAACACTTTCCTCACTTTCCTCTAGTGCTATCCAACCATGCAGATAGTTCTGGTGTATTTTTGTGTATGTTTGGATATATAAAAGACAGGTTTATGTTAGATGTCTCCCTTGGGGCAAAGATTTCCCCCAGATGGCCAAGACAATGAAGCAAATGGATTTAATATTGTGCTGCTTATAGTAGGCCTATTGGAAAATGACTTGTTGCGGTAGCCAATAGGGCTGAATGTTTGTTGCGTTCCCTCGCCAAGCAGTAGTAACAGACCCATTAGCTGACTCTGCCGGACTGGGAGCTTCCAGTGAACAGCACAGCCAGAGTGGGTCTGAATGCAGCATCCAATACTGACGGAGGCCAGTTTGACAACAGGGAATACAGCTCAGCTAATGTTAGCTACACAACCTAACCAGCTAATGGCATCTACCATTAGCGGCAGTTAGCAACTTTTTGCAACAAGTCCATCAGGGAACTCTGTAAATCGAAGCCAAACTGGGCTTGGAGGCTGTGTTTGGTCCTCGTCTGGCCGTGTTCACTGGGAAGCTGCTGAGCTGGGTTCAGTTGTATTCTAACGGCAGCTACATTAGCAGTTAGCAGAGTTCAGGTTTTATATAACTTATAAATATGATCCAGTTTCACCAAAATCACTGATAAAGTTGTGTTTTTGTACTGTAATCAGTGAGGTCTGGCCCTCTCAAATATTCCGCTCCAGTAGCTTGTTTGTATTATGGTGTACTGTATATTGTATGTACAGGAATCATTTATGTATTTTTCTACTTTTGTTTTGTGTTTTATGTTGTGCCCCTGACTGCAAGTCAAGTTTCCCATCTGGGATTATAAAATGACTGAACTGTGGAAACTACCCAAATTGTACAAAAAAGAGCCCAAATGAGCTCAAACAACCTAAAACTATTTGTACCCACTCAAAGAAAAAGTACTTTTAATCACCAGTGAGGGGAGCTGATTGGGTCAGTGACATTTCAAATTTAGCGCATTCAGTTCATCTTGAGGATGCAGTGTTCTAAAAGGTAGTTCCAAGGTTAAAATCTCTAGTTTAGGTGAACCCACATGATTATTGTTCATTGTTTTATGATATTAATCCTCTCCCTTGCTTTTCTTAGATTGGCCGGTCCACAGAGAGCATGATCGACTTTGTGGTGACGGACACGGCGGGAAGCGGAGGCAGTCAGGGTGGTGGCGCAGCAGGGGAGGGCGGCGGTGGCGGAGGCCAGTCGGCCCAGAGCACCATCTCCCGGTACGCCTGCCGCATCATGTGCGAACGCAGTGCTCCCTACACGGCCCGAATCTACGCCGCCGGCTTCGACTCCTCCAAGAACATCTTCCTAGGGGTGAGTTTTCTCCCTCGTGGGTGCCAGGCTTCTCCCAGCAAGCTCCACAGGGGGTGGTAACCGTGGCAACCATGGTGAGAGAGCGACAGCAGGGACATGGCCGTTCCACCTACGGGTGACATCATAGCTGTAAGGATGGGTGTCAGTGCATGTGACCTGGCCTGAGGAAGCATGGGAGAGGAAGGAGCAGTGTTCTCCACGTGTGCGTGTGTGTGTGTGTGTGTGTGCGCGCACGCATGCGTGTGGTAAGGACTTGCTGGTGGTGTTAGTCATGTGTGTTGTAAGTGTTTTGGTTGTAATGTTCTGCTTCTGGTTGTTAGTGTCTAAAGCTATTGGAGATATGTGTGTCTGGTTACATAATAAGTCAGTGAACATATTATATTAAATGCTACATACATTATATCAGTATGTCCTTATATTTACAGTACTATATGTGAAAAAACTAAATAGTTAATGATTTTGGTGTTTTGAACTTACATTCTTAGTTTGGGCCATAATTTCTATTAGCTATGATAATATTGAACTGATAGATACTGAAAAAGGAAAAGGAACCACAACTAGCCCTGCATTCAGAGAACGCAGTGTTCTAGAAGGATAATAGGGTACTATGAGCTCTTTGAGATAGTTGTTGAAATGTGCTATACACACAGATTAACTTTGCCTTGCCTAGAGAGCCAGATACTCCCTCAGGAGGTGATGGAGACCTAACTCAGAGTGAATATTGGACATAACAAAAGTGGACACAAGTCCAAATGAATCATAATGTTGCTCCATGACTGCTGGATGTGTGAATAGACAACAGTTTGCTAACAAATTCACCATATCAACTTGAAAAGTGATGATGTGTCAACACCCAAGTAGGAAAAAAAATATATCAGTATTTTACAATTTGACTTTTTCTGTCTTTCTGAGAGTGAGATGAGAAGATGGATGTTAATGTCATGTCTGTGTGTTAAGTCAGTCTCAGGAGAAGAAAGGAACAGATTAAAAAAAGACACAATGTGTTGAAACTGCAGTAGTTAACTTTTTATAAAAATTCTTTTTGCTTATTGCTGTAATTTTCACTGTGTTCTGACATTCCCATTCCCAGGGTCCCAAAGCATATGTAATTGATTCCCTGGGACTGAGACTCAACAATCAACTATCTTCATTGGCTCGGATTGGTTGTTTTTGTTCAGGCCTGGTGGATTCTTGTTAATGTCACTAGAATCGCTAGGAGGAGCCAGATGAACCTGATATTTTGTACTACTGTCAAAATATAAGTTAAGTTAATATGTTTCAGCAAATATGACAAAAAAATATTTTTATAAAAATGACCTACTGCAGCTTTAAGTATGAGCGTTAGTACGGGTCATGCAAGCAACTTTTTTTGACCCATACAGCTGTGTTTTTAGAGAGGATGGTCTGAATGTTATCATAACCAACATCAATGATCAGGCAGAGGTAAGAAAATAAAACCCAATTTGCAACAAACTGTAGCTTTCCTTTAAATTGACAGAAGTAAGACAGACATTTATGTGTGCAAAACTAACACGGATTGTTTGTAAAAAATTCGTATCCATTTGAAAACAGTGGTAGTGAAAGATGGTCAGAGCCACAGATGGACGGGGACAGGCACACAGAAAGTGAGCTTTCCCTGGAGATTGACTTCTCCTCTGTCACTTCTCCTCTGAGGAAAAGACAGTCCTAATCCACTGAGAAGGCTAGATACAGCCCCTCTACATCGCACCTACTGCTGGGGCTATTGAAAGTGATATCTGAGATTACCTTTCATTCTGGCAGGCCAGCCTCCCTTAACCAGCCCGCTGCAGAGTGTTGGTGCGTGCTGCAGATTTAAGCAGACAGTCGCTCTCTTTGAGCGGACAGCCTCCACTTCCCTGCTGCCATTTCCAGCCTGCTCTCCTGCCCAAACACAAGCAGACATCTAGAACTAAGGACACTCTCCCAGCTGATAGCCTCCGGCTGTTTGCTGGGCTTCTTTCTGGGGTGCATCTTTAGTACAATAAATGTTATAAAGTGGAGATAGGTATGTAAATGTTACACCGGAGCTGTTAATTGTTACTTAAGACAGTTTTGTCCACCCTTGATGGATATGCTTCAGTCTGATAATGTTTTTACCAAGACACAGTAATAAGGCATATACTCAATCTTTACTTTAGCATTTTTGTAGTGTTTTTATTGAAATATATATATTTTTTGTATGCTGAATTTTGCCTCCATCTTTGGAACTATACACATGACAAACAAGGTCTGTCCATTTACATTTAACAGGCACTTTTGTTCTTGGTATAAGTGAGTTTCTGATGAAGGTGTTGTCATGTCAAGATGGAAATACCATCATCAGTAATTTTGTAATGTGTTAAAATAACAGCACCATATATTGGAGCTGCATTGTGATAAAACATAGAATGCCAGATGCATTAATTACAGTGTTATGCTCATGTTGGGTCCCTCACAGCCAAATACATATATTTCTGTATGTGATATTGGCATTATTGCATTAATTAAATTTGTGAGGAGAATAGCTATGCTTACATAGAAGAGATAACATATAAGAGCTTGTTTATGAATGTTGATGAGTTTGATAGGAAATTTATCAACAGCATGAGGCCACATTGATAAAAATAAAACCACCTACTTCATCTAAATACAAAGTTTGTGATAATATTCCACATGCTATCTGGATCTTTTAGAATTATTTTGATCCAGTTAATATAGCTAATTAAGCACAGCGTTAGTTCAGGCAGGCCCCGAAGTCAGGCTCAGCTCTCATTTCCAGCTACATCCGCTGATCAC